AACTGGCTCCAGCCCAGAGGTCCACATCCTTGTAAATTGCTCCCTGATTTTTATTATGTATTGGTTTAGTTCTTTTGTAGGTTGTTTTTTTGAGGCGTAGATCCAGGATATAAACTTGCTTAAAGATGTTTTTTGTTCTTAATAAAAAAAAGCTTCTTATATTCAATTTATTCATTCAAGAAAACTTGATAAATAAAGCTAATATTTTCCCCAAAAGATTCATTTTCACATTTTTTTTCTTTTCTGAGCGTCACGCGCATGTGAACCAGGTAATTTGCTTCCTTCTGCCTTTTGGTCTCCAGTCAGTCTCCACTTATCATGTATTTAAATGTTGTTGTTTTTCTTCTTTTAACACTAACTCGAGGAAATGTGTTCCTCGTCCTCCCCACGCCCCCCAGCTCTCCTGTCTGTTAAAACGTCTCTCCAGCTGATGCTGCTGTTGTCAGACAAACACGGCGGGGCAGCGTGCCAGTATTGACACTCCTACGGACGCACGCGCGGTGAGTGACCCGGCGAGCGGGACACTTTTTGCAGCGTTCGGGCTATAAGGAGAGGGAGTGGCGCTCTGGAGGACAGTGAGGAGAGAAACTCCACACGCAGACAGTAACACGGCAGCGCCCGGGATAACGTGATTAGCGCTCTATTAAGTCCGCTGCCGAGCGCAACTAGATGCAGCGCAGAGACCAGAGCGAGTGGAGAGACAGGAGGCGCAGGGGAAACGCTTCATCCGGCACATGGATCTTCTTTGCCTCTTCTTGATTTGCCTGAAGAAGTTCCCCGGTCGCACTGTTTTAGTGCCCTGGCAATGGAGAGCCGCTGTCATCGCTCCTTGTTTTAGGTAGGACTATTTATCATTATATGTACCTCGATTTTATCCACACAGTGGTGCCAGGCTATAAATCTGAGTTAATTGTGTTAGAAGCACTGATAAAGAGATGACACAATTCTAAAACTATGATAAATGATACACATTTTTTTCCCTTCTTGTTTTATTTTCAGATAAAGTGTCATCTTTTAAAGTATCCCTCACAATGAGGAGGAAAAATCCGGGAAAATCTCAGAGGAGTGATTCAGTCTCTTCTCCTCTCAGCTCTCCTGGGAACCACTAGTTCTGTCCTTCCTGGCGGATGATATTTGTAACCTCAGGTGAACTCTTAAAGAAAGTGGGCCAATCTGCTACCATGGCAGACATCAATAACACCACTCAGATCTTACCTAGCTTGGCCCCTTACAGCCTACGGATAGCCCTGCCACTGCTCGTGGGCTTTATGATCCTGCTCATAGTGTTCGGTAACGTCCTGGTGGTCATTGCTGTGTTTACAAGTCGGGCCTTGCGAGCCCCGCAGAACCTGTTCCTGGTTTCCCTGGCCTCAGCGGACATTCTGGTGGCCACCCTCGTGATGCCTTTCTCCCTGGCCAACGAACTCATGGGATATTGGTACTTTGGCGATGTATGGTGCGAGATTTACCTTGCGCTCGATGTTCTTTTCTGCACCGCGTCCATCACCCATCTGTGTGCAATCAGCTTAGACCGCTACTGGTCCATCACACAGGCCATCGAGTACAACCTAAAGAGGACGCCTCGCCGCATCAAGTGCATTATCTTTATTGTTTGGGTTATTGCTGCAGTTATCTCATTCCCGCCCCTCATCACAATGGCAAAAAACGACAACGACAACAACGGCGAGAGGACACACCCTGAGTGCAAGATCAATGACCAAAAATGGTACGTCATCTCCTCCTGCATCGGATCCTTCTTCCTACCGTGCGTCATCATGGTACTGGTCTATGTACGGATCTACCAAATCGCCAAAAAAAGGACACGGGTGCCACCCGGAGACCGGAAGCCAAATGCCATTTTGAAGTCACCCAATACTCCTGCTGCGAATGGGAAGGAGAATGGTGCAGGCGACGACAAGGACCGCCTCTGTCACGAGAAACTGAACAGTGAACAGGCCATAGAGCTCCAGGGAGTTGGAGGACATAGGAAGGCAGAGGAGGCAAAAGGTGAGATCAACGGAGTGGACCTCGAGGACTCATCGTCCTCTGACCACAAAGTGAACAATCCATGCTCCATTAGAAAGAAAACAAACAAGGGGAAACCCAGACTAAGTCAAATCAAACCAGGGGATTCCAACGTCCCGAAGCAAGAGTCAAACACCAAAGGCAGCCGCTGGAAAGGTCGTCAAAATCGCGAGAAACGTTTTACCTTCGTCTTGGCAGTGGTCATTGGTGTCTTTGTCATTTGTTGGTTTCCTTTTTTCTTTACTTACATGCTGAAAACTCTGTGCATATCCTGCAACGTGCCTACAACCTTGTTCAAGTTCTTCTTCTGGTTCGGCTATTGCAACAGTGCCCTGAACCCTTTGATATATACTGTTTTCAACAACGACTTCAGGAGGTCATTCAAAAAGATACTGTGCAAGAGGGACACCAGGAGATACGTATGACTCCAGCTTTGCATCCTTGTATTTTTTATATATATATATATATATATATATATATATATATATATATATATATATATATATATATATATATATATATATATATATATATATATATATATATATTGTGCATCCATTGTAAAACAGTATGCCCATTGTGCATGAACCTGCAATTTGTGATCGCTCAGGAAGGTGTTTATCTGCAGACTCTTCCTTCCCTTTGAATGCATCCACCTGTCACAGCTTTAACACGACGATGGAGATCACAGAGAAAACCACAGTAAGATCATATTTTTATTGTATCTACTTTTTTTTTTAAAAGAGGCAAACATAGTGAAGTTATTGATATGTGTTGGATTTGTATGTCATAACTAAATGATTTGTCTGAGTATTTGTCTATATTTGTTTTCATGGAAACAGTATTGTAATATTTTGTATGATATGGTGATATTGATTGCAACAAAAATGATGCTGGTGAACTTGTGCTAAAGTGCAGCTTCTAAAGAATAAATAAAGCCCATTTTGTCAGAGATCGTTTAAAAAAAAACCTAGAGGAAAGATTGGAGTGATGATTTCGTATCATTTTGGATCTTGTCAGCGTACGTTCAAACAATTGAAAAAAAACTCTGGAGATTATGGGGAAGGAGAAAAAGGACAGAGCACAGAAAATGAAAAGCTAGAATTTGGTTTATGAAACAACCCTTGTTGTTTGCGAACAACAAGGGTTATGTACACTTAGAATAAATTTCATATTATTTTGAGCTTTCAATGATTTATTTCAACAGATTTTTTTCCCCAGCTTAGACTGATTATACAACAAAAAACTGCAGTGATTTCAGCTGAGTGCACAAGGTTTTGCACAAGGTTCTAGGTTTTGTCTACACCATTGATGTCTGATTAATTGTTTCTCATTCACCAGCCTTATGTTTCTTCTGACGGGATTCTGGCGGCATTTATCTCACTGCCTCTTTAGACAGAAATGTTAGAGCTCATTTAAACTGGTTAGTTTCCTCCCTTGTTTTTAAACTTAGTCTACAAGCAAAGAGGTTGTGGTCATTTCCAGAAGCCACATTTTAGTAATATCCATTCTAGAACAGGATATGATGTGAACGTGGGCTCAGTGTTTTGTTGGATAATGCAACTATGCCTAAGTTACAATTCAGAAAACTTGAAGCCGGTCCTCATTATTCCTTATGCCACTGATGCAGCCACCACCGTGCTTAGCAGTTGGCGCAGTGTTGCTAGGCCTGGAGCCCTCACTTTGGTCCGAACATACTTCATGTTGTCAAAGTCAACTATATCAACCTTTGGCTCATCTAAATATAAAACAATCCATCAGCGAAACTAACATAAAGTTTCTGAAAATGCCCCAGCCGTAACCCAGGTGAAAATGCGTGGACTGTTCTTTAGAAAATGGGTTTGTTTCAGAAACCCAACCAGTTTACATGAACTCTATCAATTCTGCTAAAATGAGGATGAAATGCTGAGGCAGACAACGCCAGAACACATCCTGGTGTGTGTTTCTTGCTTTTGAGCAATCTTTATATCAATTGGATGGGGGGGGTCTATTTGTCCCCTCAAATACAGATTTGAGGAAAGTTTTATGTTCATTATCTAGCAACAATAAAAGTTCAGCAGGGACTGCACCTGCTGCCAAACATGGTTGTGGAAGGATCATGCTGTGGGGCTGTAACACTGGCAGAGGTTTTGGTAGTAAAAAAATAAAATTATGCCTTTCTTCAACTAGACCTCAAATCAACAGCTACATGGATGAAACTTGGACAATAATGGGTTTAACAACAACAAAGTGATCCTAAACACAAATTAAAACTGATATTGGAATGTAAAAACCAGATTAACATCCGGTTTCTGCACCAGCCCAGACGTCTACCCTGCTGAAAATGTACAGACTGTGATCTGGAACAAGGCATCACGCACAAAACAAAGCTGTTTTAATTAATTCTTTCCATTTTGGCTAAAAAAAAGGGTTTCCTGGCATTATTTTTGGAAGAATACATTTAAATAAATCTTAGGGTCGGTGCATGTAAACACTGGAAACACAATAGGTTTAGAGATATACCCCTTATTTTATTAATTTATTCTTTAATGCTGACTTGAGCTGCGTTTTTCTGCCACACTCCTGGTAGGAGCTGATAAACCCTGATGTATTCTTCACTGTCCTGCAGGGAGCTGCTGTTCAAAAGGAGAACTGCAGACTTGCCGGTCTGTTTAATCTGACCTTTTTGATAGTCTAACAAGGCGATTGGCACTTAATGAGTCTTAAAAGAACGTGTGCAAATGTTGCTATGCTTTCCGGATTAATCCTGTTTATGACTAGATGAAGGTCTCTTATCTCAGACTTCTCAGAAATACATGACTTTTTAAAAAATTATTTTATAGTTAGAGAGATGGCATTTTAAGGAGTTTAATGGTGCAACTCAAAGAAGTTGCGGTTCATTTGCCACTTTGTGTTCTTCATCATGACCCAGTCAAACGCAAACCTGCTCAACTGGGCGATCTCCAGCCCCTTCTTCTGTCAAAAAGTCCAACAACCATTCACTATTTATTTCATTCAAAGAACAGACATTGCATCTCCCCTGCAGAGGAGTCATATGCAAATGGAGTCCTTTTCGACGGTCGAGCGAGAAAACATCACGAAACTAGACGGTCCCACTGAGAGATTACCGTCGCCTCGTTCTGACGAACCCGATGCACACTGAAATTGAAACGCACTCAGTGTTTCCCTGCACGTTTGTGTAATGAGAAAGCACAGGGCGGGGGTGTGTGTGAGGGTTGGTGTGTGAGAACGTGCAAGAGTACTCACTGCACATGTAAACAGAGGGGCTGAGCTCCCTCTGCGCGGACACGTTTGCAGTCGTGCTCATAGTGAAAGGTCGGTTTGATGGATGTGGGAATTTTGCAGGGAGACTTTAGGATGTTGTTTTTACGAACGCGCCGGGGGGTGGGAGGGGACAAAATCTAATATAAGGCTTGCTAATTGTGCAGTGACAATAAGGTTTCAAGATCTATCGTATAGAAACATGAACTTCAGCACATTTTAGTTTTGCTATACTCTGTTCTGGAATAGAGTATAGCAAGAAGAAGACTGAAGACTGATGGGAGAACAGTGTCTTGTTTGCATGAGAATTTGTGCCGCTAGGACCTTTTACCATTATGTTTCATCACAACCCCCATAGTGTAAAGTAGAACATAGTGGTGAAGGAAAATGATACTTGATGTTCAACTTTTGTTATATATATAAAATAATCCCTGGAATTTGAGGAGTGCTTCTGTGTTCAGCCCCTTTGTAGCACCAACTGTCAAAGAAAATCCAGTTGCGTGTCTTTCAGGCCATGTATTGCACATAAAAAATTGATTTTGCTCATTTTTCTTTGAAAAATGGCTCAAGCTTAGTGAGACTGCATGGAGAAACTTAGTAACCCACATTTCTTAAAATCTCAATTGGATTTAGGTTTGTACTTTGGCTCGGCCCTATGAGCACATATAGTTGCATGGATTTAGCTCTGGCTGTATGTTTTCACTGCAGTTCAGGGAGAGACCAACACATCTAAGCAGATAAGCGTTGAAGCGGTTTTCAACGCTTAGCGGATGAAAAAGAGTTCATACAACTGGGCACAACAAAAGCTCAGCTAGTAACTTCGTCTAGGAGAGACACAGAGTTAATATGGAGCTACAGCAGTCTCAATATTCACAAACTCACAGGATGATTCACAGGTGAACAGAACAAAATTCACACATGTATTTCTGATGCAGAAACAAATTTATCCTGATTTACAACCTGCTTGTGAGTCAAGCAGGTTGTGAATTTGGTTGCATTTCTGTATGAATTTTGAGAATCCCCCTGATTTGGCTCAAACCACAAATGTTCTTGTATACAGGGAGGGAATAATCTGCAACTATTCAGATAGTTTTCTTGTTTCAGCCAATCATAAGAAGGCATCCCAGGTTATGATTTATGTACAAATCAAACAATCACATGAAGCCATTCAGTGAAGTTCAGACAATTTTATACCTCAACATGGCTTCTGGCGCTGACAGAGGAGGAGAAAGAAAAATATCTAAATTAACATATGTAGCTACTTTTCCCCGTGTAATGAGAAGTTATTTAATTTATTTGGTATTTGGTTTCATTATTCAACTATCAACACAGACTAGCAAGCTAAGCGAGTGAGATAAACCCTGTTAAACACTTTACATATTATTCACAAGAAATTCAACTATTTGGAAAGACACCAGTGACCAGCTTGATGCTATTAGCATGCAGAAGCCCTAGCATAGCACGCTAGGTTAGCTCACTCACTCTCTAGCTTAGCTCACCTGCTTATCTTGATAGTTTATGATAATAGTTTAATAATTAAACAACTTATCATAACACGGTAAAAGCAGCTAAATATGCTAACTTGGATCTTTTACTTGTTGTTGCCATAATCCATGTTGAGGCCTGAACCGTTTGTACTTCACATGGCAACAGCACTCTATGAATGGGTTAATTTAATTGGCTTAAATCATACCGGTGTGAATGAGGGTTTCTATGATTGGCTAAAAGAAGGAAGACATCCGATTATATGCAGATCATAGCCTGTGTAAAAAATAGACATTTGTGAGTTAAGCTAAGTCAGAGTGGTTTTAAAATTCACACGCAAATGCAGCCAAGTTCACAGACCAGAAGAAGGTTGTAAAAAAAAGATTAATTTGTGTGTGCACCAGAAATAAATGTGTGCAATAGCTTGACGCAAAAGTTGGACGCTCAGAATTTCATGATTGGCGGTGAATGGGTTTTGCAAGCAGCCTTTGTGTGGATGAACTTTACTCAGTGTTACAGCCAAAAAGCTTCAAACTCTTAGAACTTCTTAGGCGAATACATAATCTGTTATTCACATGCATGAGAAGATTTATGTCAGGATTTTTAATATTTCATTTCAATGTTCCGATTTCTCATTGAGCCCACTCCCCCCTTTACGGCTCTCTGCAACTCAACTCTAATTCATGATTAATCTAGTTTAACGCTATGCTAATGTTGTGGATAGAGCAAAGACCTCTTTTCATTTCATCATTGTGGAGTTGTTCTTGATGATGACTCCTCTTTAAAGAGCATATTTATAAGTTTGTCTTTAAACTGTAAATGTGCTCTACTACCTTTATGAATTCTTCATGTGCAGTGAAACTGGGCTTCCTTTTTGGACTTTCTAGAAATTCTTCATACTTGTCTCTCAAAGTATAGAATTTTTTTCTATGCATTTTTTCTTCCTGGAGACTGTATTTGTGCCTCAGGAGGTCGTCTTCACCACGTCCTGATGATGAGGTGATAAAGTGAGACTTAGACTAAGAAAAGGGCTGGATTTTTTGGAAAATGTATTTTTTGAGTGTTAAGTCATATTATAATGTCAATCACTTATGAAAAACATACCTAGAGTGTTGCTCTGATTTTTTGTGAAACCCTTAAATCTTCCATGGTAGCCATTCAAGGCTGCCTAAACTTTTCATCGTCCAATGCAGCGCCCATTTACCCAAAGCTCTGCCTCTTCAGCCTAACTCATGCCTCACCCCGTCTTCCCCTCTCCTCTCCTTTAGACTAGCAGCAGCAGCGATTAGCAAACACCTGGTGGAACTGGGAGTCCAACTGACCTTATCCA